ACAATGTTCCTTTATTTAAGAGTAAAAACAACCGAGGCATGGAAACAGGAATAGATGTGGAGGATCATGAGCCATAAACCACTGGCTCTTCCTGAGATGTGCTCAGTGCCGGAACTCTTGGACACAACAATGTGGAAAGTCTTCACTGCTGCAGTTGATGTAGAGTAGAGAGCAGAGAACTTTAGTCCTCTCATCCTGCTCCTCTCGGAGTCCTGCACTCATCTTCCTACAAATATCCAGGCCTGAATCTCCTGTAATAGAGAAATGAAAATGATGGATGTCACCACCAGCATTGATCATTTGAGAATTATTTTTGGTAGGTAACCGTGAGAAATGATTTCATAGGAATGGTGCTGAAAATGTCCTGAACTATAAGAAATGTTAAAAATAAAAAGGCAATAGGATAATAACCTGGTCTTACCTGACAATATCCAACATGTGCTATAAAACATATGAAATGCTACTTTTATTTTCCACAAAAGTAGAAAAATTGATTAACCTTGTATTCATAGGTATGGAAAAGTATACAGAGTTTCTGCTTCCAACTGATGCTTTTCCTTTTGCCTCAGGAAAAAAGGCCTGGGAAAATCATCAGAGCTTCCAAAACATATATCCAACCGTTTTGGATACCGACCTTTCTGAAAGAGCTGCCATGATTTTTGGTGGCAAAAATACCTGTCCACAGTGTTGTAAGTGCAAGAACTGGAAGCAGGCTAGTGGTTAGTGGGGAATCTGCCTTTTAAGTTCAGGGTCTGGAGACTTGAATGTTGAGATTTACCCAAATTATACCCCTGAAGACAAGTTTAATGCTCATGGGTCTTCACTGCAACCATAAAACTACGCAGAAACATCTTTGCTACTGTCCTGTCTGCAGTGCAATTTGTTCTGATTTTTCCAGGAGTCCTGCCACTACTATTACTGAGCAGCTGAAATGACAGACAAGACTTCCATCTTCAGAGCCTCTTTCATAGAGTTCCTTCAGCTAAGTGCCCTGTGGGTTTTCCTTCCTATTAAGTGTCTCCTTTTCCCCCAACTTCCCCCTTTTTATTTTTTATTTTTAATTTCATGAGACTAAAACCATGAAGGAAAATTAATTTTCATTGCAATGTGGTGAACTGTGAAAGAGACCCTTAGTCGTGGTCTGGAATGCAGACACTGCTGGCTACCTTCTCAGACCATGGCTAATCACACCACTGACAGACTGGAGCTCACTGGCTGATCCAAATGCCCTGCGAGCCTGGAACGCACTGGATTGCTGAACTCCTTGGACTGCTGCCTAAGGGATGATTGCTGTCAGTGGATTAGGGAAAACTCTTTTGGAGATATTTTGTCCTGCTTGTCACTTTGGTGGGGTTATTCTGCCATCTTTGAAATGCTTTGTTTACTCCCTTCTCATTAATGTGTAGGTGTAATCCTTACGTTTGCTTTTGAAGGATAGCTTCTGGTATTTGCACAATAATAGACTGTGGAACGTTATCCATATTAACCTTGGAAACAGTGGGAAAAGCATGTGCCTTTATTGCCCATGCCCCTGCGTGGACCTGGTGGTTACAGCTGAGAGCACTGGGCAAAAAGACAACTGTGGAACATGTCCTTGGAACAGTTCTTCAAAACGCTCTGGTCTCAGCATGCTTCCACCACTTTCCTCCTTTTTGGTAGCTTCTTGAAAGCACCCAGATGGGGGCTGCTCAGCCCATTGCCAAGTTCTCATTGTTCTTCTTGCAAATGCCCATGCTTACATGCGGACAAGGTACTCATGTGTGAATGCAAATGCTGGGATTAACAATGGAAGTACCCTCACCCATCTATCCTGTTTCCTCACTTCACCACAGATTTGGAACAGTCTGACCAGAAGTGGTGACCAGTCTTGTATGCAAAATAACAAGTGATTTGTCAGAAAAAAAACCTGTTTTGTAAAACAAAGGAACACTTGAAAGCTGAGCTACATGAATACAAAATGTTCAGTAAATAATTGCAAAGACTGGAAGACTCAACTCTGAAAAAAACTGAACCCAAACTCTTTGGCTAGATAACCTGTGAGTCTGAAGAATTGCTTTTGTCTTCACTAAGCCAACTGCTTGTTCTGCTCCAAGTGTGTTGGCATTTTTTATTTGAAGTGGATGGGAAACTGATGTGGAACACCAAGAAACAATATCAGCAGTAACACAACTCAATTAAACTAGCCATGAATATAATCTAATCATTCTTGATTTCAGATGCAAGGTACATCCTCTTCTCCATATGCATACTTAGGAGCAAGAAAGGGGTAAATCATACACTTGAAGGTTGTTCACCTGTGTGTATGGATCTGTGATAGCCTCAGGCACTGTCTGGTCATCAGCTGCTGGCTTTTAAATTGCTTAAAGACCAACACCTACTAAAGACTACTAAAACTTACTAAGTACTCCCCCACTGAGACCTCTCTGTGTGTCTACATTGTGTCAACCATATTTTACAGTCATGGCTGGAAAGGCAGGTAAAACAACATCTACCTCTTGTGCATGGGCCATGCAGCCTCTTCTTCCCAGAAAGTCGCATTTGGGATAGCTCATCACACAAGTGCATGGAGTGGCTCCAGAGAGAGGCTGTGAACCTGAGTCATTACCAAATCAGACACTGACAACCTCAAGAGATGTGGACAATGAAGACTGTCACCCTTCTGCTTTCCCTGTAAATACCAGTGACTCTCTACAGTCTTTTGGGGAAGACCTGACAGACTGAAAAAAACCTTTACATTGACTCTGGAGTGCCCCGATACCTGCTGTGGAAATATATACCTTCTCTGACAAACACCTCTTCTCCTTGGTGGGAGTTTTGACCTCACTACCAGATGAACTCAGGAGGCTGTGGCATTATTTATTCTTCCACGCCTTGTGATTTCTCCCTGAGAAAGCAAAATAAATCATGCCAGGTTTGAGATTCCCCAGAGAATGGCTGTGTTTGGTACATATGACATTAAACTCTTCCCTTCCACCCTTCCCTTTGGTGATTAATGGCCTGTGATCCTCCATGATTCATGGCATCCAGAAGACATTATTTTCTGGGACGTAAGAGTTGGACAGCATGTTTTCCTCATCAGTTACCAACTGTGATTGTAAGAACCTTGTCGACCTTATCTGGGATACTGGCTGTCAGAGAGGGAAATGTGGAGAAGGGGAAGAAGATCAAGGAGAAAGCCTGCTCCAGCACTGACTTGCTTCTCTCTCAGACCAGACACAGAGCTTCTCTCAGCCTCTGTAAGTCAAGTTTTCCCTCTTCCTGGTCTAGCCTGAGCCTTTCCTTGTCCTCAGGCTCCCTGAAACCCTTGAGGGGATGGTGTGGAAAATGAAAACCTTTAAGTGACAGTTTTTTAACTTGACATTGATCCTACACACACCTGTCCACAGAGCTGCCTGTGCCAGATAGCTCCAACAGCTGGGTTCACACCTTGCCATGCAGAGCACATTTAGTTTGAATTACTACGCTTAAACAAATTTTCATTTCCATGCACTTCATATACACTTTTCCCCCTCCTTTCCTCTCTCCCCACTGGCAACTTAAGGAGCCATTTTTCTTCCTGACGCCACCTTGGCACTCTCTCTACCAGCATGTGAAAACAGCTGAAGTTGTACATATGGAGACCTCATCTTCAGTTGCCTAATGGATTCAGAAGACATCCTGAATATTCATCATTTCTCTTTTTATGAGCACCTTGGCAATTGCCTCCAAAGTTAAAGACTGTTGTAAATTAAGGAATGGCACTTGGTGAATACCAATTTATCCGTATTTCAAGACTTCCCTCACCCCCACCTCCCCTCCACACAATATTGAAGTTCCTGTAGTCTTTGTGAATACAGGGCATTGTTTCTGTGCTGCTGAGGCAGAATTGTTTGTGCATCCCTGAAGACTGTGAAATGTCTGGCTGGGGCTGCTCATTTAAACTCTGTGCACTTACTGTACCCTCTCCGGAACTCCCTTCCTGGAGAAGCCAGCAATGACCTTCTCAGAAGTAATGTTAAACACATGATGAGGAAGCTTGGCTCCTAGATGGACCCTTTTAATTATTGCAAATTAGCAAATAATTTTTTTTCAGTTTCATATCACTATCTGCCCTGCTGTGCGTGGGATCCTCCAGGTACACAGTTCCCATGTGTTGCCTGAAATATATATTGGCAGACTTATCTGGTAATGTCAATATTTGGTGCTTTTTAATGTGTGTGATTTTCCACACACAAAAACTTCACCCCTTCTTAGTAATGACAGTGCAGAAATTAAAGCAGAGGGTTAATTATGGTTGATAGTTACTGAGTGTTTTTGAAATTGTGTCAAGTCTGTGGGGAAAATCCCTGCTGCAGAGAATACCCTGTTCATTGGAGGGTAGTAAGAGAGTAGGAGTAGCTTTGTCCAGGGTTTACATATGGGACACAAGGATGTAGAGTATTCTGTCCTGCAAGATGCTGAGCACTCTCTCCCTGGCCTTCCCAAATTAAGTGGACTCAAATGTCTTCAGTGAAACTACGTGGGACGCACTGACCTGAAGTGATACAGAAATCCTGTGGCAAAGAGAAGGGTCAAGACTGGATGTCTTATGTCTAATTGCAGTCTGGTCTCCATCTTGTACGTGGATATCAATGGATAACAATGGATAGGGCCCTGAGAACCTGGTCTAGTGGAAGGCATCCCTGCCCAGGGTTGGGGATTTGGACGTAGATGATCTTTAAAGTCCCTTTCAACCGCATCCATTCTATGAGCCTATTATACATTTCTGTGGTCTTTATTCATTCCTGGGCCTTGCTAAGATTTTCAAAAATGTAAAGGGTGTTGCAGACATTCATAATTTTACTGGGGATGCTTGCAATTTTTTTCCCAAGGCTTCAGTTTCTGGAACCACATTTATATGACAAACTCAGCTGTCCAGGAATATAAATGGTTTCTAATCCTTGTTCTTGAAACAGAAAGCTTAGAAAGACAACCAGGAATTCTGGAAACCCAAAGAGAAAATGAAAACACCTCTAACATATTTCCATTTATAACAAACTCACTCTTTCTAAGTCAAGATTATGTACTTTTTAATTATGGTGTGGAAAAAGCTGGTTCTTGCCTTTGCGATGTTCATGTCGTAAGTAGAGCCTGGAGGGTGTGAAGGCTCAGGAGAAGGCAATCTGAGGGGGGTGATGGATCCTATGGAAGGCCAGCAGGCTTCTTGACGTGCTAGAGGGCTGCTGTGGAGATGCCAGGCCATGAAGGAGGCAGGCAGAGCCCCCGAGCCGCCACAGGAAAATGTGGCTTAGTGAATGTGGGTGCTGCCACAAGGCAGGAGACTCCTTTCATGCCTTGAACCAGGGCAATTCTTCCAAACTGTTCTCCAAGACCCTGAAGCCACACAGGGCATATTTGCATTTCTCCTCCTTTTGCTGTGTTTGGAAGGAGCCTGGGCTGCAGTGCAGAGTGGCTGACAGTGACTGAGGAAGGTGCAGGCAGCTGGACAAATGCTGTAGCATTGGCACCAGCTGGTTGTGATAGGAGGATGGCTCCACAACTATTACTTTTGGGGAATATTCACACATATCTTCACACTTGCCCAGCGAGAGGGAGAGGGGGAGAGCCAATGCTGGAAGCCAGAAAGTATTTCAAGGACGTCAGCATGGTTGCAGATGCTAATAAGAGTGAGGAGAGGCATCTCACAGGGCTAGAGGGGACTTTGTTTAATACAGTCAGCACATCTGGAGATACATCACAGTCGAAAATACAAGTGCAGGTGTGAAATTATCCCCCAGATATCTCTGCAAGCAGGGCAGGAAGAAGGCAAATCTAGATCCTTACACTGTTGGTTTTTACTGCCTCCATGGGCAAGTATAGTTGTGATCTCCTCAGATACCTGCTGGAAATCATTGTTGGTCTGACCAGAGCCTCAAGGGACAACGTGGACATGGGAGACCACAAACCAGCTGCTCTCAGAAGGAGGGAGCTTGATGCAGAGGGTGGTCTAGAGACTCAACCTGTGAGACCTGGGATGTGGGAAGAAAAATAAGCCCCTGGACTCTGGAGCCCATTCACAAGGCATGGAACTTTACTTTTTAACTTCAGTCATCTTCCAGCTGCCTGGGATATCATCAGAAGTCTCCTCTTGAGCTGTATTAAGAGCTGTCCATTAACAGGTTAGCCAGTCTCCATGGGTCTAGAACAAAAAGAAAGAAAATAATTTTTTTTTTAAATTGTTGGTTTAGATATATGTATGTGAAAACATGCATGCACACACACAATGTAGGCAGCCACAGGACTAGTGGAAAGGTACAAAAAAAATTAAAAGATATCAAAAGACTGCTGTCATTTTCCATTTAGTTTTTACATAAAATAGAAAAAACTTTACCAGCAATAGTATGTAATTAATGTCTGATCTGGATCACAGTTCCAGTAATTAGATCCTTCTTCTCTTTAGGTTTTTTTGTTTTGTTTTGTTTTGTTTTTTTGTTTTTTTTTTGTTTAGTTTGGTTTGTTTTTTTGAAAGTATGCATAAGGAAAGATACATTGATAACAGGCATCAACTGTGAGGCTTCTAGGACTGTGGTTGACTTGGAGGAGTGCTTTACCTTCAGGTAGAATAATTTCTGCTTTTATTGCAAAAGGGGCTCTGAAATGCCTCCTCAAACACAGAAGAGATGAAATTACTGTGGTAGGAGGTAGATAACTGCTCCCTTATACCAAATATTTCCTGTGAATCAAGCTGCAAGAGAGTAGGCAAAGCCAGGAGTGATGAAAATTAGGATTAATTATGGATATAGCTAAAACTTCATGTGAGTCTGTCATGCTTGCAGCAATTAATCTCCACAGTGATGAGAGACTGCAAATAAAGTTCTTCAATGAGAGATGGGATTTGATTGGATAAACAGGAGAGAGAGATTGACACAACAATTTTTAACTGGTATTTCCCTGGATGCTTCCAGAGGGAAGGGGGAAATATTTTTCATGAACAAGTAAAGAATAAGAAAATCAATGAAATGAGTCTTAACAAGGCAACATTAGAGAAGCCCTTTGCTTGGGCACAAGTGAGCAACAAATTTGGTTTGAGGTTGATGTATGATGATGACTCAGGAAAGGGAAGCGGTTAATATAATCTGAACTGAAAAATTTGGATGGATTCAGGTTTCATGCACGTGTGTTTGCTCTTCCTCTCTCAACATGCTTCTTTATAGCTGAATTTCAAGTTGAATAATTATATTCCAATGCTGTAATCATTTGATAAGCCTTTGCATTGCTGTGTAGTTTTCATCTCTGGACCACAAAACGCTGTCCAGGCACTAAATGAACTTTGCATAGGATGTGAAGCTGGCTGGTTCTACAGTCCTGTCTGGGGAAAATGAAGTACAAGAATTCTAGAGCTAATGAAAGAATGTTTTTTTCTAAAGAACGTGGCTAGTTAAAGATTGCAGGAAAGACCTGGCCAACTCCTAAATGGCACCTCTAACTTTTCTCTAGAATTTGCCTTTTTTAATGTCAAATCTTGATCTTTTTTGAGTGTGCACATAGAAAGATAAAAGACTCATGAGAGAAATCATCTGGTGCTTTCTAGTCCAGAGTGTTAGCTCAACATCTGAATGACTCAAAGACAAACTCTGAAGTAAAAGCCAAAACTGGTGCTTAATCTTCTCTGTGAATTGTTCACCAGGCCATACCTTCTACCTTCATTTATTAGTGCTCATGGTACATCATTGTAGTTGGAAACTGGTTTGTCTGTGGCTGGTATTTTTCCTGTGACAAAGTTGAGGGGAAAAGGTTTCTTTCTTTCCCATTACAGAAATCTGTGTCCTTTCTATTGGGAAAAATCTGTGTCTGACTCTAAATCAACTTGATCAATCTTTGAAGATATATATGTGAACTGCTATGTGACTGCTCCCAAAACAGAAATTGCAACTGTCACCAAAAAACCCATATAAAATTATTACTTCCTGATGCAAAAGGCTCTCTTAAGTTTGTATTCATCATGTTAACTGATCATTGTAAGATATACATTATGTTCCTAATACCGTGGAAGTTTAGGGGAATATTTACAATTGGAAATAGTTGTTTAAAAGGTTATGCCTGAAGAATGCAGAGGAATACAGCAAAGCTCTTAGAAGAATTTTAATTTGCTATCAAAACCCAATTTATTCAATACCTCCTTCCAGAAGAAGATATTGTAAGTTCAGCTGCAACTTCTTAACTTCATCATATTTTATATATTTTGGCCATAATGCATTGCCACAAATTATATTATACAGTGCGATTTAAAATGTGTCCTGATTAAGTACACAGAAAGGATCCTATTCACTGTGCAAGGAATAAGGGAGACATCATAAGTACCCATTGTTAAGGTGTAGATGTGTTTAATGATCATGTGTTAGCTAAACTTTTTAATCGTATGTCTTGATTATGTTATACCTTTATTTATATTCTAAGATATTGTTTCAATTGCAGACATGAAGAGCAGACAATGTCTTTCATCTCCCCCACTCCCATCACAAAACCATTAGAAAGAAAAATACAGGAATTTGTCTTCACAGGAAATGAAAATGGGGGGAAAAAAGAAAGGCTAAAAAGCATCAAGAGAAATTTATCAGCTTAAACATGGAATAAAAAACCTAGCATGTGCAATAAGGGAGTGTGCTGGGAGTATGCTGTTATTTTTATTGCTACAATGGTACTTATCCAGGACCTAAAATGTTGTTGCATCTTAAAAAGATTATGGGTAATTTAGCAAATGTAGAGAGAAGGACAATATAGACATTTGGAGACTTCTCTACAGGGAGGGATTATAAGGTCTTGCTCTTTTCAGCTCAGAAAAGAAATGGCAAAGCTGGAATCTGCCAGACCCCTGAGAAATGCTGAAGCTGGCAGAGAATGTGCAGGAATGATTAGCTGCAATTTGCTCAGACAAGCACCAGTAACAATGTGAGGCAGCAGTTCCAAAGGCAGCAGAGGGATTCCTGGACGCTGTCCCTCACAGAGACCAAAAATACTAATGAATTCTGCAAGGGATGAGACAAATTCATTAAGGATAGGTCAACCAATGACTCTTCAAAGTGATTATCCATGTGTAACTGCTACCTCAGGAAATCCCAAACTATCGCTTCTCAGAAACTGGCCCAGTGTAATGAGGATGAATCACCCTGTGATATGTGCCCTAGCCTCGTGCTTTCCCTAGACATCTGTTCATGGATCATGTAAGAAGTAGGACACATTGTCACATATGCAGGGACTGAACTCATCATGATGAACTAAAAATTCTGAGCCCCATGCCCTCTATTGACCAGTTTCTGTAAGTGATGTTACCACAGAAATCCTTCCCCTTCACAGAAAGCCTGGGTCTCTGAAGCCTTGAAGATAGACTTGTATGATGAACACTTCCTTCAGTGAAATTATTGATGAGAAAAACATTGAGAAAAATGAAGCAAGCAGGGATTTGGCTCTAGTGAGACAGCCAGAAGTATGCTTTACACTCAAAATGCAATTGTTAGTATTTTAACAAATGTGACAAAGGATATGTCAGTGCCCCTGTCAACTTTTTAAAATACAGATGAACTAACCCCTTTCCTGGAAATCTCCAACATTGAAACCAGCAATCAAGACTTTTACTTACAAGGGAAGAAAAAAATGTTTTGGGAAAATCATCAAAATAATTTTTAAAGTGAACCTTAGGCCTTATCTTGCATGTCAGCCATGTTAATGCAGATGTTTCCAATTTGAAAATGAAGAGTGAGCTTTATCTGAAGGCTATGTCTGTGGAGAGCCAGATCTTCCCAAAGGAATGGGCCTTGGTTTTGCAGACAGAACTCAGAATCTAGGAAGGTTAAGAATATGAAGAGATCAGTGCTTGAGTTCTGATAATGAGAAAGGATTTTGATGAGGTTAGAATATTCAGGAAAGACATTACAAAGAGGAAAAAAGAAAAATGCAAAAATATGTTCCTCATTGTTAGAAGCCTGTTAGATATGAAGAGTAGTTAAATTAGACATTGTGAGATGGCAAAAGTGGAATCCAAAATCCTGAAATCATGAACAAGGACAAGAATTAATTGTCCCAGAAGCAGGACTCTCATGTTGAACACCTAGACACAATATGGCCCCCTCACAGCTCAGGCAGAGGTGTCTCTATTGACTCCACCCTCATGTAAGAATGTGGGAAAGGGGAATATTCCTGAAGTTATTATGTAGAAGCCACCACTAAGGCTCTCTGCTATCAGTGGTATGAGGCACTGTCAAAGGGGACAAACCAAAAACTCTTCACATCTGCATAGTCCCAAGAGATCATGGAGATCCACACAAACCAGAGCTTTCTCCATGGAGTTATAACAGGAACTTAGCTAGCCCAGGACAGGACAGTGTGTTCCTAAGCAAGAGCTGCCCTCCAGCTATCCAAAGGTTGTGTTCTGGGTCACATGGGAAAATAGATACTGCCCTGTGGCTGCTAGGACCAATAATGTGGTTGTCTACTCAAACAGAAGATAATGAGTTTCATATAAATTAGGTATTCGCAGTAAGAAAGCAAAGAAAAGAAGTTTTTCCTCTCCAGCTGAAAATTGCACCCATTTCTTTCCTGCTCCAGGCCTTCCAGCTTTCTAACCTGATGAGTTATGGACAGTCATTCTTTCCAGTGTTGGCTAAATTCTTTTCTAATTACACATATTCTGAATAGCATGAGGCAGACCTGCTGGTAGAAAATTTGGTGCAGAGAGCATAATAAATTCCACAGAGAGCTTGATGTGCTTCACCATAGATGCAAATGTAATATTCCTTTTCATCACCACAGAAGAGATGAGATGCTGAGCCAGAGTTTAAAAAAACTTTGTTCTCTTTTTCTAGGGTGTGTGGGTGGGATTAACTTTGTTTGTTCAGTTAAAAGGCTGTGTTGTAAGGCAAATTCAGTAGAATTAATATCTAGACATTTGTAAAGCAGATTTTACAAACACAAAAGCACAGAAGACGCAAATAAAATCAGACCTATAAGACACATAACCACGACAATTTTAACACAGTTTTGGGATAAAACTGAAAATAACACATAAAAGTATAAACTATGTCAAGAAATTTTAGCACATGATCCTTTACTTAAAGGTCTTCTCTCTGGAAATTAAGTTGTAAAATGCTTACAATAAAAAGTAGCCCTGAAAAGAGTGGGGGTTTATTATCAGGGAATGATTTA